ACACAGGTTTTGGATTGCTTAGGACGTGCGTGCAGTGTCGGCAAAATTTACGCCTTTGTAATTTGTAACAATGGGAACCGAATATCGGCGGCTCTACCCAACCTGTGACGAATCTGCATCATTGAAAACACTTCTGGTGATGAAAAACCGACCTAGTATTCGTTGCTCATAAATCATCTCCAGCAAATTATATTCTAATTAACCCTTCCGATTTTAACAATAGCTGGCTTCATTCTCAAAGCCTCCAATAAACTCGGTTGCTCCTTCTGCACACTACTTTAATCACAAGGCAGTAGTATGCTGCTGCGGCATGCAAATCAGATTACGCCATACCTGCAGGACAAAATTCAATAGAGGCTTCTTTACAAACTTGTCCATCAGTCATGGAGAAGTGCACATGAAACCAACTTTCTGGTGTAATGTCTGGCAATGGGTGTAGCTTTTGTCTGGTTGCCTGCACTTCCATCGCCTGTCTCACAATGCTTTCCGCAATCAGGAAGGTTGGCCGCCTAATCCAGGCGACTTCTCTCTCGGTAAGTCTTCCAATTTTTTTTACTGACATTTTTGCCCCATTTATGCACTCTGATTATGATGAGAGTGTCCCATTGGCTTGATTAAATATTTACTTTCATGTGTGACTCCTACATTTGTTACAAGATGGCGTGAAAGTAGTCGAACCTGAGGAAAAGTCGTAGTTAGAGCGCTTGACAAATGAGTGCGTGGGAGAAGTTACATGGAAAGCATGAGGTCGCAACTAATTTATTTACATCCTAAATTGTAGACTTGTTTCAGATTCCCCACCCTTGCCCCTTCTACAAACTCCCCCTTCTCTACATGATCATTAAACTGCGTTTCTGTATGTTCTATTACCTTCTGAAAAGGCATTCGTTTAATAATAAACACTTTGTTGCAGATCTCACTGAAACCTATCCTGTCTCTTCTGCCTCTGTGCTGACTTTGGTGCCGGCATACTTTATAGGCTGCTGCCCAGCTACAGCTATCTAGGTTCTATCTGGCTTGTAGATAAAGTATCGTGCGAATGCGATGGAGAGGGTGGTTGGAGTTGTTGAGATGCAAGTGACGAGTGAAATTTCACTATTCTTATCCTCTAACCTCAGCTCCTCCCCTCACCCTCTCTCCACCAGCCTACACTTCACATTAACACTCTCACAAGACAATTCTGTCCCACATCAGCTCTCCTTCCATCATCACCTTCACATTCTCCAATTACTGCTCCTCCTACTCCTTCTCCTCCCACATCTTAGCAATCCCTCAATATCTCCACCTGAGTTAGTCAGCATGATATTATTTGATCATTCAAATTCCGTTATGGCCATTGCCAACCCCTCACCACTGCACTTCCATCCACATGGATCTGCCAATTCAGCACATACATGCATCTGCTCCGCGCTCATCAGTTCACAGATTTCACCAGTCGAAGAGCTGGTCATCACATCAGAGTGGTGGGCATTGAGGACCAGTGCTGTGGCATCGCCTCCTACTCGCGTTGGATCAATCTACAGTCGTATTGCCCAACTGCCGATTAAAACATGGCATCACTGCATTGACAATCAGTCAAACAATAAAAACATTCATAAGTAAGCAAAAAAGTGGAGGAGTCAATCAATTAACACGACGCTCCATTAGCCACTTGGACATGTAGGGAAATCATGAGGCGACAAATCAGCTTGTCAAACAATTATGGCGCAAGGCTTGCGTGAGTCGTGGCGTGATTGTGGCGGAGCGCAGTAGCAGATGAATGGCAAAAGAAAGAAGGAGGGCACAAATGCGGCAGCTTTTTGTTCCATTTCAATGTGTGTCGTTTCGCTGACGGTGGTATCCCCAACACAACATTGTCATTGATGCACTTCAGCACTGCCGTCTACTCCTCCAGACATGTAAAATGGAGTAGAGCAAAGAAAATCGCCTACGACTAGACAAGTGGGACACTTGCCTCCTCGCATTCTCCTCCTTTCTCCTACCAACCCTACAAAAATGCTATTTCGACGTTGCGAATTCAACAGTGTCTTCACATCCTATCAATGCGTGGCCATGGGTGGTGAATGCAAAGCATTTGTAGAGTGGAGGGGGATTGGCGATTCAAAGCTGGCTCGTGGTGCCCACCACCTGCATTTTGGCAACTGGATGCAGGGGAGAACGTAATAAGATGCCTTCTAACATTTCACTCTAACCATCTAAAAACACGTAGAAGCATTCGACAAATATTGCTGCTTGTTGTGTCAGGGAATTTCTTGCACATCGTAATTATTTGCTCCAGCTCACCTGTTGCTGGTGTCCAAATTTCTCGCACTGGCCGAAATAATCGAACAATCTGATAGCTGGAACTGACAAGGAGAACTCGCTTTTGAGAGACGCAAAGCAGCAATTCATACGAAGTAAATCGAAAAGTTCGCAGAAATTGTGATGAGAGAGAGAGAGAGAGATGAGAGCCATGAGAAAAGAGGCGATAATAGTCCACTCAATGGAAAACGCAGGCAACCATCAGCAAGTGCGCTGTTATGCTTGGGG